GAAATGGAGGCAGGAAGATTAGGAGTTTAAGGACAGCCTCAGTTACACAGCAAGCTTGAGGCCAGCCTGGGATGACACCTTAACCCAAAAAGAAGGAAGATAATATCAGGTCTCTTTGTGATTCTGAGAATCCCCAAATCTGACAAGTTAGAGCTGACCCTTTCAGGGTAGTGGCACAGGCCTTAGTGTCGTGTAACTGTTCACAAAAATCATATTTCTGTCACCATCTCCCACTGGAGAGAAATGTTTTGCATCCCTGGGAAGCAACCACAGTACTGAGATTATCTTTAAACTGCAAGGAGGCAATGTGTGAAACGAGAGATGGTGTGAACTGGCAACTCCAAGCCCTGAAAGACGTCCTCTGTTCAGCATCACCATCCCTTCCACACCCCCTCCGAAACCAGCCTCCTCTGCTGTAATCTGGCAGAATGCTCGGAGGCAAGCAGCCCTGGCATTTGCTTGGGTGGTCCGATTTTTAGTGGGCTGCTTGGGTGGGGGGTGGATAATACAATGATGCCTCTTTTTAGTTTTCCACCTCTGCATCACTCAACAAGACTCATGAGAAACATCTGTGAACAGACAACCTGAACTCATTCCAGTGCAGGGACCCAAATATCCAGAATTAACAGAGGAACCAAGGTGCAGCCGATGGAGGTTGTGAAATCACTAAGGCCTGACTTGCAGCTTCCTGCTTCCTCCTATGAGTTTGGTAAGCCTCTGCCACACTCTGGAGACTTCACTTTCCACTTAGAACTCTTTTTTGGCAGGATGTTTTTCTAATAATTTCAATTATATCAATTTGCAAGGAAAAGGTTGATGGAAGCCTGTGATTACAATTTGAGGCGGAGGAAACTGGGGCTTCATAAAGAAGCTGGATAATAGACTGGGGAGATGGTTATCAGTAAATGGCTGTCTTTGCATGTGTGAAAACCTGAGCCGGATACCCAGAACTCCCTTTTTATTTCAAGTGGACTCACCTTTTTTTTTAATGTGCATTGGTGTTTTGCCTGTATGAGGATGTCAGATACCCCAGAACTAGAGTTACAGACAGTTGTGAGCTGCCATGTAGGTCCTGGGAATTGAACCCTGGCCCTGTGCTTTTAGCTACTGAGCCATCTCTCCAGCCCCCAGAACTCCCTTTTTAAAACTTTTTTGAGAGGGTCTCACTGAATATCCCTGGCTGGCCTGACACTCACTCTGTAGACCAGGCTGGCCTCAAACTCCCAGGGACTGCTAGCCTCTGCCTCCACAGTTCTAGGATTAAAGGCATGACAGCACACCTGGCCAGAACTCATTTTAAAAAACAAAATGAGCAGGGCGGGGCGGTGGTGGCTCATGCCTTTAGTCCCAACACTCAGGAGGCAGAGGCAGGTGGATCTTTGTGAGTTTGAAAACAGCCTGGTCTACAGAGTTCCAGGACAGCCTCCAAAACAATACAGAAAAACCCTGTCTTGGAAAACCAAAAAAAAAAAAAAAAAAAAAAAAAGCCAAAAGTAGGGGCTGGAGTGGTTAACAATACTTGCTATTCTCCCCAGTTCCTAGCACCCATATCAGATGACTCACAACTACCTGTTAACAGCTCCAGGGGACCTAATGCCTTACATAGCTCCAGGATTTCTTTGTGACTTTGGAGCCTGTCCTGGAACTCTCTCTGTAGACCAGGCTGGTCTTGAACTCACAGAGATCTGCCTGCCTCTGCCTCCCAGTGCTGGGATTACAGGTGTGCGCCACCACTGCCCGGCTAGTGGCTTTTTTGAGTGTGAGCAGAAACAGAGTTTTGTGGTTAAGTAACTTTGAGAATGCTGGGTCAAATATCTTCATTGTAGAGTTTCTCAGGGCCTTAACTAAACTGGCAAGCCTTGTCAATCTTCAAAAGAAATGTAATAGGAAAGGATTTCTCAATCCTACCTGAACATAGAACACAGAGCACCCTAGAAAATTCAAAACATGATTGGGTGGTGGTGGTTCATGCCTTTAATCCCAGCACTTGGGAGGCAGAGGCAGGCAGATCTCTATGAGTTCGGGCCAGCCTGTTCTACAGAGTGAGTTCCAGGACAGTCAGGGCTGTCTCGAAAAACCAAAAAAAAAAAAAAAAAAAAAAAAAAAAGAAGAAGAAGAAAAGTTCAAAACACACTGTCTTAAAATATTGCCTTAAAAACCCTATAAAGGGAGGAGCTGGAAAGACACCTCAGTAGTTAAGAGCACTGCCTACTCTTCCAGTCATGTGGATTCAATACTCACAACCAACATGGCAGCTCACAACTATCTGTAACTCTAAGTCCAGTTCTCCCTCACACAGACATACATGCAGGTCAAGCAGCAATGCTCATTAAACAAACAACAACAACAAGCCAGGTGGTGGTACAGGTCTTTAGTCTGAGCACTCAGGAGGCAGAGGCAAGAGGATTACTGCAAGTTTCCAGGCCAGCCAGGGCTACATAGCAAGAACCTGTCTCAAAAAGAAAAAAAAAAAAAAAAGTAAAAAAGTGACAACACCACAGCCTTTCCTTAGCTGACCTAAAGAGTAACCCCGTAATAGAAATGCATGAGATTGAAAAGTCTTTTAAAACATGTGGGCAGTGAGACCCAGGTCTCAATTCCCTGGGATGCTAATTCCGACACGCTGCTGCTGCTCTAGCATGGCTCAGCCTCAGTCTCGGCTTCTGTAAAGCTGAACTGAAGATGTTAGAACAGACTTCCAAGAACATTTACAGTCCTCTGTCAGCCAAAATAGTAAGGATATTTTTACAGTCCACCATTATACGGTATGACCAAAATAAAAAATTGTTCTCCAGACTGACTTAGGTGTGACAATTTGAGTCTGTCACCTCTCCACCTGCTCCTCTGGAGCTATGAGCCAACACCCTGTGTAAACGAAACTGGGTTCACACCTAGTCATCCAAGGACTGCACCCTCCCAATGCCCTACCCCGGCAATACAGCACACACATCCTAAAGGAAGGGAGGGCAGCTCTGACCAGAAGGCGCTCCAGGCAACAGATGCAAGGCTGCTTCTCCTCCTCATACAGCTTTCTGCCAAGAATGGAAAGCCATTCCAATATGAGGGAGAGCCTATCACACAGTCAGCTGAGCTCTCTTCTTCCCACACAGGATTCCCCCCCAGATGTTGCCGGTTTGCTGGCCAACAGCTGCTTCCTGCCCTACCTTATTCTGAGGCTGCCTGAACAAACTGTCTTACTTGCATGCAGTGCAGAAGTTACTTTCTGTTACTTCTAAAGTTACTCTCACACTTTGCTCAATCATTTCCACCAGAGATGCACTTTAAGACTTTCAAGGAGCAACTGTTAATACAGGGCAGAAGAATCCTGCCCACTGCTGACTCTGGAGAAGATTCTGCTGCAGTGTTGGACAGCTGACTGACCCTGACAGCAGCAAACAATTTATTATTCTGACAGAATAAAACTGAGCAAAGGAACATCTTTGCACACCACATATTCCAAAAAGCTATCAGATCCTTGCTATATATATAAAACCCAAACCCCAGTATCAAAGGAGTTTGCACGAGACATTAGCAGCACAAATTCAAATATTCACTCAATAAAGACAAACTGTTTGGCTTACAAAAGAGACAAGGTCCTACAAAGTCTCTGTCAAGAAACATTAATGTAAGAAGAATATTCTAAATTCCCCAGTGTAAAAAGGAATGAACTACCAAAATCTGCCTGAGGGTTCCTATCAGCTAGGTCACCTTGAGAGAGAAGCAGAACATTTCCACTCTCAACCTTTGGGAGGTAGAGGAAAGACTCCAAGCTCAAGACCAGCATGTGACACAGAGGGAGTTCAGGGCCAGTCTGTGTGACATTATGCTCAGTGGTAGTGGATTTGCCTACCATGTGCAAAGTCATAGTTCAATTCCCACCACTGCAAAACTTCAACACAACAACTAATTCGACTCTCCCGACTGCATAGCCACCTAGTTCAGGGCGCCTTCGCTTCCAATCTTAGGAGGATCCATGGTGGAAAAGCTCACATGACTTCTCCAACACCCGCAGAAAACTTTGAAGTTGCAGATGACCAAAATAAAATGAGTTCGTGTGCTTGGTGACATACTGACACAGGAGAAACAGCTGGGCTCATAAATCACTAGTCAGCACCAGCACCCTCCTCTCAAACTGGTTTTGGGCAGACATGAAAGAAGAAGTAAAAAGTGCCTTCACGCTGACGAGTTCCTGTCTTTCAGCGTAGACTAGGGGGCATCCCTGTGTTCTGCACTCAAAGGTTTTGGCTTTAAGTTTCAAAGACTGTTGTATTCTTGAATGTTCCAAAGGTCAAGCCAGGAACCACCCATGAAGATTTGCCAAACCAGTGTACCTTGTGTTCCAAGCTCCTTCGCTACCACCCCACCCTACCTCACCCCACCCCACCCCTGCAACCCTCTCTCCTGTGGCCCAAATTCACTCCAAACAAAGGCCTTAGCCAACATGTGGAATCTTGACCCAGGCCACTTTCTGTCTTGGGCTCTCCTCCTACCCTCCCTCAGCCTTCTTTTCTTGATAAACACAGGGGATCTCCTGTACTTTAGATACTTGCTTCGCTACTGCTGCATAAGGTTATCTCCACCCCACTAGACTTGTACTTCCTCAATATGTTTCATTCTAAGATGACTCAAGACAGGTAGATTCCCAAGACTGCAGAAATGTCACAGCCACATTTTCCTTCTCTTCCTGACTCTAGGTCACCTCTCCAAAGGTAAGAACGTGCCTGCTGCCCCTTTCACCAGCAGTGTCCAGTCAGAGCGGCTACACCGGGGGTGCTGGAGGAGCCCTCTTCTTTCCTTGCTGCAGCGCCCCGCCCCCTTGCCGCAGTTCCACCTGTTGCAAACTCCCGCCCCCATACAAACTATGATAGGCCAGCCTTCATGATCCATTCTCCCATTGGGCAGGTCACCCGTCCCTCCTACGCCACGTCCCCCGGCTTTGGCGAAAGAGGCCCAGGCCGCGGCCTTTGGCCCCAGAGAGATCTGAGAGTTGGGGGCTCTACCTGGAAGGGGTTTACATCCACTGGGTCCGCGAAGGGGTTAGTGTCGAAGGCCGACATGGTGATCGGAGGCCAGCGGGCGATCTCCGCGAGCGCTACTGCCTTCGGTCACTCAGAGACCCAGCAGCACTCAGTGTAGAACCTCCACTTCCGGGAGCGAGGCAGCCGTTCTGGCGCAGGCGTAGGGCCCTCTGTGGGGGCGTGGCTCTGAACGTCACAGAGGTCCGCTCCGCCCCCTGCCCAGCCTACTAGAAAGTGATGGATAAGCGTTCTGTTTCCATCCACTTACTATTTTTAGCCTGTCAAGGTGTTGGAGGTGGAACCCAGGGCCTCGCAAATGACAGACAAGCGCTGTAGCCCTGAGCTACACCCCCAGCCCTTAAACTCACTTCCTCCTCCTGTGCAGGATGTCTTCTCATGCCTTCCTTCCAATTTGTGTTTATTCTGAGCTTCCAAAAGTGGGACTGGCAGGAAACTCCATGCATTCCTAGGGAGCAAAATTGGGAAGTTCGGCAAGTCCCGGAGCAAAATGACAAGGGTGCTATGTCAGTCAGAGGAGTTCTTTGAAGAACTGTGCTCCAGGACAAAGTTGGAAGACCGTGCACCAGTACCTGCCATAGATGAACCCCCACATCTTTTTAGGCCCCACCCTCCTTGTCCAAGTTCCAGGCCAGCCTGGTCTACAGAGCAAGTTCCAGGACAGCCAAAACTGTTACACAGAGAATTCCTGTCTCAAAACAAACAAAATGGGGTGGGCTGGAGAAATAGCTCAGAGGTTAAGAGCACTGGCTGCTCCTTCAGAGGACCCGGGTTCAGTTCCCAGCACCCACATGGCAGCTCACAACTGTCTATAAATTCAGTTCCAGGGGACTGAGCACCCTGACACAGACATACATATAGACAAAACACCAATACACATAAAATAATAAATAAGTTGTTTAAAAGCAAACAAACAAAAAGTAGTAGTAATAGTAGTTATTGGTGTCTACATGAAGTATGGATGGATGTGAGGACATGTGTCAGAAGATAACTGTGGAATTGGTTCTCTCTTTCCACCTGTATGTGTTTTTCAGGGCTTGAACTCAGGTCATTAGACTTGGTGGCAAGCACCCTTTGCCCACAGAACCATTCTCATGTATGTTCCAAATGTTTAGTTTGCCCTCCAGGTCTTTTGGAATTTCTCTTCCCCATCTCTTCTCACCCCCACTTTGGCCCACGCCTCTTCATTCCTCTCGTTAGTGCCTTCCCAACTGCTGGAACTCCCCTGTACTCCCCTGTCTCAGGGCCTGTGTACATGCTGTACCTTCTAACTGGTATGCCCTTATCCCTGTACTCCACTGAATGAATTCTTCAAATCCAACTTCAGGTTGTTTCCTCAGAAGTGGCTTTTCTTCACTAGATTAGATCATCCCATGTCATAAACTCATATTACCTGCAATTTTCCTTCCTAGTGTATAGTACAGATTTTAACTGTACACTTGTTTAGGTGGCTGTTTGTTTATGTCTGTCTCCCCCAGTAGACAGAAGGCTCCTCCAGGGCCTGCTTTGCTGACTGCTATACTATATATCTGGTACTTATATACCATGGTACTAGTACCAAGCACATGGCATGCATGTAGTCAACACTTGCTGTTTCCAATGATCAGTTTCCTTTACGTTTCTCGACCCTGTGTGTGTTCTAATTATCCACTCAGGCTGAGCTCGTTGCCACCAGAAAACATCTGAAAGTTCAGAGAATGAGAAAGGGACCCATCTGTGTGGTCCTCTGTTCCTCAGCCCCTATAGATACAACTCCAAGGGCAGAAATCTTAGCTGTCTGTATCCTGCGAGGACACGAGTCTGTACAGTGTGAGGTTGTCCCACTTCCTCTTGTACAGTGCCAAGGCTAAGTAGCATGCTGAATTGGTGAAGAGGGAATAAAACTTAATAATAACCAATGTGGAGACTGCCCACAATTCTGTCAATGTGAGACACCAGTTTTCATGTGGGGAGGGTTGGGCCTGTGTGTTTTGGGAAGGCAAAATGATTACTTCCCAAAGTTAGTTCTCTCCTACCATGTGGATCATAGGGATTGAACTTGGATTGTACAGCTTGATAGCAAGCACCTTTACTAACTGAGAAATTTCATTGGCCCTGTTTGTTGTTTGCTTATTTTTAGACAGGGTCTAATGTAGTTTAGGTCTGAACTCCTGATCCTCCTGCCCCTGTTGGGGTTAGAGATCTCTGATACCACATTCAGCTTTTTAAAAAAATTGTCACAAACAGATTCTGAGGAACTATGGGCTAAGAAAGGGAGATGTATGTTTTTTCAATATTGCTACCAGACTCAGGTCCGTTTGCTTGACAAGCAAAAGCCAATATTCCTGGGGCTGGAGAGATGACTTGGTTGCTAAGAGCACAGGCTGCTGATGCAGCAGATCTGGATTTCATTCCCAGCACCCACGGCAGCTCACAATCATCTCTAACCCCAGTATTAGGGGATGATCCAGTGCCCTCTTCTAGCTTCCCCCAGCACACATATGGCTCATGGACATTCATGCAAGCAAAGCGCCCAAACACAGAAAGGAGAATCAGGAGGTCAAGGTCATCCTCAGCTCCACATGGAATTCAAGGCCAGTCTGGGCTACAGAGAACCTGTCTCAAAGATAGACAGACAAATTGAAAGAAAAGCGGAGGGGAGAAGGCCAGGTTGGTAAAGTGTTTTCTATACAAACATGAAGATGAGTTCAGAGACACAATACCTGTGTAAAAAGTGGGACATGGAGGTGTGTCTGTAGTCCTAATGCTGGAGAAACAGGAAGACCCTGGGAGCTCATTGGCTAGCTGGCCTAGGCGATTAGTAAACTCCAGATTCAGTAAGAGACCCTGCCTTGAAAAATAAGGCAGAGAAGGATAGAGGAGGACGTCTTATTTTCAACACCAACTTCTGCCCTCCACACTTGCATGAACTAATATGTGTTTACAAGCAATAAACTAAAAACAAACACAATAAATAAAACACGAAAACCATGTGTTGCACATGGTAAACAAGGGCTCACCCACTGATTCTTAGGCAAATGTACTATTTCCTTGTAAGTTAAACATTATTCCACTTTTAATGTAATTAAAAATTTTTTGAGACAGGATCTCACATACCCCAGGCTGGCCTCAAGCTATTATGTTAAAGATGCCCTTCAATGTCTGATGCTCCTGCCCCTACCTCCCAACTGCTGGAATTACAGGCAGGTAACATCCCAAATGACTTTACTTGTTGTAATCAAAGAATAAGATCAGCGAATTGTTGGCCAGTGGTTTAATGTTCTGTGAAGCCCATCAGAGGTGTTCTAGGGGGAAAAAAAAGACTTACTGAATTTTTTTAAAATGGTTTTTCAAGACAGGATTTCTCTGTGTAGCCCTAGCTGTCCTGGAACTTACTCTGTAGACCAGGCTGGCCTCGACCTCAGAGATCTGCTTGCCTCTTGAATGCTGGGATTAAAGGCTTGTGCCACCACCACCCAACTGACTTTCTGAACCCTTAGAAGACTTTGTTTGTCTTTTTTTTTTAGTTCCTTTTCTTGGGAATACCTAACCTTGCAGTTTAAGATGGGGAAAGAGAACCGAAAGCAACTTTTGCCAAAGAACATTCTTAACCCATTAGGGGATTTTAGTCAAAGGCAACAGTGAAGTTTACGGTGACGGTGAAGTTTACAGCAAAGCTGGTGGGAGACTAGTAATACATTGCTTAGCTCTATGCCTTCCAAATTAATTACACATTTTTCAATAGTGGGAATGGAACCCAGGATCTTGGGCATGTTGGACAAGTGCTCTGCCATTGAATTATATTGCTAACTGATTTTTAAAAACTTTTATTTCATAGGGTATGGTGGCTCATATCTGTTATCCCAGCACTTCATAAACTGAGACAGAAAAATTACTGCTAGCTCTAGGCCAGCCTGAGTTTCAGGCCTTCCTGAACTACAGAGTCAGACCCTGTTGAAAGAAAGAGGAAGGAAGAAAAGAAGGGGCTGGTGAGGTCGGGGTGGGGGTAAAAAGAAAATTATCTTGAAACAAGAGTCTCACTAAGTTGCCTAGGCTAGCCTTGAACTCTTGAGTAGTTAGTTTTTTTTCTTTTTAATCTTTCTTTTCCTTCCTTCCCTCCTTCCTTCCTTTCTTCTTTCCTTCCTTCCTTTCTTTCTCTTGAGGTGAGGCTTCATATAGCCCCAATTAGTCTCCAGTGCATAAGCCAAGGATAACCTTGAGCCCCTGACCCTCTTGCCTCTGTAACAGGGCCCCAGACCTTATCAAACTGACTCCATGATAGAAGTACCATTCAGGCCATAAAACTCAGCATGCAGAAGTTACTACCTGCCAAAAGAAAGACAAAGGCCTAATCCATCAAAGTCATCATCATTCTGGGAAAGTCTCTAAATGTGCTAATCTTGCTTTTTGGCTTCTGTAGTTCTGCTTCTGGCTAACTGTTTTTGTTAACTGAAGTGTGTCAACCCAGAACATGGTTTTTATGCTTAAAACTTCACCCTGAGAAAGGCTTAGTGCTACCCTGGGATCCCAAACACCCAGTATAGTCGCCAGCCAGCCAGCCAGCCAGCCAGCTACAAAAAGACTTTCTACTGGCTTATACCTGTGTATGGACAGTCTTCTCTGGTGACCACCTCACAACCCTCTGCTTCCAGAGCTCTACTATTATAGTTACGTACCACTAAACCCAGCTCAAATTAGTTATTTTTTTTAATTTTTTGACATACTAGGGTTGTTGAGGATATTAAACATGCGAGGCAGTGCTCTGCCCCTGAGCTAGATCCCCAGTCCCTACTCCTCTCTTTCTCTCAAGATAAGGTCTCATTGTAGCCCAGGTTGGTCTAGAACTTAATACGTACCTCCTCAGGTTGGCCTTAGCTTTTCAACCCTCCTGCATCAGCCTCCTGAGTTAAGATTACAGGTCTGTGCCGGCAAGACTCTCAAATTAGTGATTATGCTAAAGTCAATTAAAAGCAAGTGAAGGTGCTGAAGAGACAGCTCACTAGTTAAAAGCAAGTACTGCTCTGGAAGAGAATTCACGTTGAATGACCTGTAACTCCAGCTCCATGGAGATCCGAAGCCCTGTTCACCTGTGGGGACCTGAATTCATGTCTACATACCCACATACAGGCACAAATTTACACATAATAAAAAAGTTTAAAGCA